CCTGTTGCCTCAGCTTCCGGAGCAGCTGGGACTATAGGTTCATGCCACCATGCCCACAGCTTTAGACCTTTTTGAAGCAATAAAGCATTACGACTAGAGCTAAAGTTCTATCCGCAAACTTTTCCTTCTTTTCTCTCCCAGGAGTACCAACAATCTTGACGTTGGTATGCTTCCCTCTCTCTGCTACTACAAACAATGCTGCAATGCACATTCTTGAAACCATCTTTTTCATACAAGGGCTATATCCACAAGTAGAATTTCTGGTTTTGAGCATCTTTGAGTTGATGAGATTTTACACAATAGTTCTCTAAATTGGTTCTTCCATGCCAACCCTTGGTAATGTCAAACTCTTTAAGTTTTGCCAGTCTAATAGATTATAAAATGAAATTTTACTTCTATTTTAATTTCCTTACCAGTCAGAATGAGAATATTTTCACATGCTTATTGGCCATTAGGGTTCCACTTTTTGAAAACTGACTGTTCATATCCTTTGCTCATTTTTATATTGAGTAGCTTGTGATTTGTATTGATTCACAGAAGTTCTTTATATATTCTGGATACAATACAATAAATACTTTCATCTAGAAATGCAGCTTGACTTTTAAATTTGTTGACAGTGTCAGACAGGGATCAGAACTTTTAAATTTTAACGCAGCAAAATTTATCAATATTTTTGTAACAGCTTATTGAAATATAATTCACATACCATAAAATTCCCTTTAAAAGTGATAAGTCCATAGTTTAGTATATTCGCAGAGTTGTGCAACCATCACCACTATCTAATAGATATTTTAGGACTTGCACTTTTTGTATCTTTCCTATCCCGAAGTCATAAAGATATCTCTTATTATAAAAGTTTTTAGGTTTCTCATATTTTAGGCATTTAACCCAGGTAGAAGTTATTTTTGGTAGAGTTTTTTTTATATTTATAACCAATTATCCTATCATCATTTACTTAACAGTCTGTCCTTTATTTGGAATTTTTAATTCTACTGCTATTAAATTCTGAGTTTTTATATACTATATGCTTGAATGTGTGTGGGCTCCATATTCCATTTATCTGTCCATCCTTCTTACATTGCTGTAAGTCCTCAGCTTTAAAACAAGTCTTTACATTTGATAGAGCAAATCTCACCCAGCTTGTTATTCTTTTAAAGTGTTTGCACTATTTTTGGCCACTTGCTCTTCCATATTAATTATAGGAATAGTTTGTTAAGTTCTAGCAATCCTGTGGGACTTTCTTTTTTAAATTGAAATTACTCTGAATTTAGAGATCCAAAATTTTATATATTTTCTTGGATTTTCAATGAGGATAATTACATTATGTATAAACAAGAAAAAAATTTTCTAATTATTTTATTTCCTTCTTTTAAAAATAGTTTTATCTCACTGCATTGGCTAGTGTTAAAGCGGTGTTGAACAGATGCAGTGATGAAGGGCATCTTATCATTTTTCCTGATTTTAATGGGAACGTTTTAAAGTCTCATCATTAAAGTATGATGTTTGTAGTAGGTTTTTGATGGGGACTTTTTAAAAAAAGTCAGAGTAAGGATGATCCTTTCTATTATTGGTCTGCCAAGAGGTTTCAACATAATTTTGTGTTGAAGTTTGTCAAATGCTTTTTCTGCATCTGTTTTTCTGCAGCTGTCTGGTGGGAGGTGAGGTGCTACCCACAGTCGTAGAACTTTTCCTCCTAAAGCAGTCGTATGTGGATGTTCTATGACTACCATCATGAGATGTTTTTATTCTTTAGCTTAGTTGTAATTTTGAAGCATCTCTAACCCCTCTGGACAACTGCAGTTTGTGCTAAGCAGCAGTTGCCCAGCGCACCTTGTGTTTAAGAGATGTTGTACTCTTGGGGCTGGGCCATCGATAGCTTTGCCAGCATCATCCGTTTGGGAATCACCATATTCCTAGCTCAACCCCATTCCACTCTGCAGGCCCAGAGTTTCTTAGAGGCTAAAGAGGAGTGAGACATGCAACACAACACTTCAGAGCAGGGCCTCACATCAGCTGCATCTCTGATGAGCTTAAGGTATAAGACAACACATAAGACACACACAACAGAAAATTATAGGGTAAGTAATTTTCTCACTGCGCATTAACATGAGGAAAAGTAAAACATGCAGCTGTGGACGTTACTGGTCATTTTCCTCAGAGGAGCTTTCCTTTCTTACCAGAAGGTGGCAGAGAGGGTGCACTTTAAACTATCCCCCGCTTTTAGCCTTTTAGAGAAAAACTTTTTTTAAAAAGAGCATAAAGAGCAAGACAATAACTCTTGCAACTTAGAACTTTTAACCTTTAGAAATATACAGATTTTCTGGTTCTGTTATTTACCATAGTTATTAGAAATATTTCTAAGAGTGACTAGAGATAATCGTTATTGAAATCTATACCATATGAGTAAAACATAGTGGGCTGTAACAAAGAAATATGAATTTGTCTAGAAGTCGTGAATATGTGCTATGGGATCTGCAAAAATGAGTTCATTATAATTAGTGGAAAATATTTTAAGGCAACTGAAAAATAAAAAAAAATTTTATATGCCACTGATTTACAGAAATCCCAATTTAAGGCAGTATTCAATGTTGTAAATTATGTTATAATGTCCTAGATGATAACCAAAGTCCTTCTTCCAGTAATATAGCATATTTCTTGTTTTGGAGAGGAGAGTATGAATGATACATGACTCACCTACAGCTACATACTAGCTAGTGAGAGAATTGTCTCCAAAACCTGAGTTTTCTGACCCTTCAACTTCACCATCTATCTTTTAAAAAGCTGAGTCTCCACAGAAAGCTAAGTTAGCTATAGTTTCTGCCCATAAGGAAACAGTGTAGGTTCACTACAGGTTTGTTTAAAATGGTGGCTCACGCCTGTAATCACAGTGACTCCTGAGGCCGAGGCAGGAGGATTGCTTGAGGCCAGGAGTTTGAGACCAACCTGGGCAACATAGCAAGACCCCATCTCTAAAAATATAAAAAAAAAGTCCCTGCTACTTGAGACGCTGAGGCAGGAGGATAGTCTGAGGTCAGGAGTTCAAGGCTGCAGTGAGCTATGATTGTGCCAGTGCACTCCAACCTGGGTGACAGAGTGAGATCCCCTCTCTAAAAAATAAAATTAAAAAAAATGGCACATAACTCAAAGACTGTGGTACATCCAGAGGCAGGTTTACTCTGAAAAGGAAAGAGCTCCTGATGAGTTCCTAGGGTCTGGGTCCACAGGGACGACTGCCAGGTGAGGAAAGACTGAATGGGACAATTCCCAGCGAGAGCTGAAGTGTAGGGAAGGAGGGGCGATGAATGCGCCCAGCACTGAGCTTCCTGGAGGCAGAGGCGTTGCAGAGCAGCAGCAGCACAGCTCAGGGAGAGAGGGCAGCCGGAACCAGGGAGGGCCAGAGACAGCCCACATTCCGACTGGGCCCAGATGAGAACAAGGCGAGTTGAATGGTCTTTGCTGGTTGGCTTTACTCACAAAAACAGTTTCCACTGAATCCAGTCCCTGATTTATAACAGCAAATAACACACCACGATCCTGTCAGTGGCTCCTCTCCCTGAAACCCTGATTTTAAACTATTGTAGAAGTGAGAAATTTAGAAGTGATGTTAAAAGTTGAGGTTTCTCTTCACAGAAGTCAGATCTGTTTTCCAGAATCCTCCGCAGGTGTAGGGCTACAGAAACTTTAGACATTGTGGCTTGGCGTCTGCAAAGTTCCGCTCTGCTTTTCTCCTTGCCGTGGCCAGAGAATGCCGCCCGTTCCGTAATGCGAGGTGTGTCTTGCCAGAAAACTCACATATTTGTGGGTGGAGTCAGTTGGGAGCCCGGAGAGATTTTTCAAAAGTCTGCGTAGGCCAAACACCGCAGGGACTTCCAAGGGGTGAAAAACAATGCCGTGGGGGTTAACAAATTTCCACTGTTTGCGGAGCCAAAGGTGCAGCTATGGAGACATGGCAAGCAAACGACCGTGACGCGGGAGAGAGCCCGGATGTTGGACGAGCGTGTCCTGGGCCCTCCCACTGCGTGCACGTTCACCGTGTTCCTGAGCAGTGGCACAGGCGCTCGGTCACTCTGGGCCACCTGGGTCACAGCCTAGCTAGCATTCATCTTACGTGGCTGCAAAAACGGGTATCTCATTAGAACTTGGAAACTCAGGAAGTACAGTTGTCCAGAGAGTTAAGTCGATGCACATAAATCAAGGGAATCACAAAGTCATCTTAAAATAGTAGATCTCAATTTAGGGGAGTCTCTTAAAGAACTGATAAGAAGCTATTCACACAACCCCTCACCCCCAGCCCTCCCGGCCCCTGCAAAATGTGCATGTGTACGGCATGTGATATTATCTACAGTTCAGGGAGGCACAGGCCAGGTTAAGGCCTAAGAATCCATGGCTTGAGGACACAGAATGTCCCTAGGGTAAGGCCAGGTCAGACTTAGTGTTATTTCTGTCAATGAGAGCATGTGCCCATTAGAAAGGAGGTTTGTCTGCAGTTAGAATCACAGAAGAAAGAGTCCCCGAGGCACAGGCAGCTGATGCCCACCCAAGGACAGTCCCAAATAGAGCCTAGGCCAGGCGACGTTGACATGTCTGCTCCCTGAGCTGGCTTTGCCCAGCACACCCTGTGTATACCTGGAGGACACGTCCAAAAACTTCCAACAGGTCCCCTCACTCCGACTCCATATTCACCGAGCAGCGTCTGACTGAAAGCCTCTTGTGCAGATCCGCCCACAGGGACGGAGCGTTCTGGTTGTGCCAATGTGAACACTCCAGCGTGCACGGCAGTCACAGTCCACTCTGGAAACCAGTGAACTGGCGTTCTGTTTGCACATTGTCTCATGAGCTGTGTGAGCTCACCCTTGAGACTTAGATCCAACAGCAGAGAGCTGGAAAATCAGATTTTCAAGCCTACCAGGCTGAGGTCTAGAATGCCAAAGTGCCAGCTGGCATCTCCTGGCAACACTGGGCTGGCCACACGCCCTCCCACTGGAAATGACCACACTTACCTTTTACAGGGCATTGGATTGTCACATTTGCTTGAAGGGCTGCCTCCACGATGCCTCCAACCACGACAGATACATGGTTGTGCTGCGGCTTGGTGATATTTCTTTCAATAGACAAGATGACAGGTGCCTCTTAATTCAAAGGGAGCAGGAAACTATGTTAGGTTCAGGCTTTTGCTCTTTGGTCAACCGTGTTGCATTCGGCAAACTTTGCTGAGCTCTTGAGAGCCGGGGTGGAGTCTTGGTTCTCTCTGCATCCCTCATGGTGCACCACTGGGACCTGCACATGTGTTGCTGGAGGTGCTCAGTGGACACACGGATGGATGGATGGGTGGTTGGATGCATTCAAAGGAGCATCGCAACAATCATATATAGACCATGAGGATATTTCAGTTTTATAATCAGAATTGATGATAAATTTCTCTTTGATAATTTGAAAAAGAAGGAATTCAGAAGTTTGCAAGAGGCAAAGGAGGCATGGCAGGGCAGGAAAAACACCTCGGCAGTGCAGCCCTGGATGAGTTGCAGCAGGGCCAAATCACACCAGGGCTCAGGACCACCTAACTCTTTTTCTGGAAGGAGGGATGTGAGATATTGGGGGAGGGGTGAGGAATACAGAGCAGAAGGTCCTGATCCATTCTGTTGTCCCTGGTAGGAGTTACCCCAGATGGAGAAGCCTCTAGGAGCCCTCTCACATTGACCCAAGAATAGTAAAAGGTTCTATTTGACTTAAACATTTACCAAGTGCCCACCCTGTGGTCTGTGCCAGGCATAAGATGGGAAGTATCTCCTCTCTTGATAAGCACAAAGTCTCCTGGTGCAGGGGGAGATGCAAGCAGGTGTTTTCTAATGTAAATGTGGTGCGTAACCCTCATAAAGTTTTTCTGTACATGTCAGAACAGGCATATACTGTGTGTGCCAGAGCCAGGCTGACATGAGGATGCCAGAACATCACCGGGGTTCGGAGCTCACTCAAAGCTGTGCTGGAGAAAGATGAGGCAGGCAGGAGGCCACGATTCCTGTGAGGCCTCTTCTAACAAGCTGTATGTGCACCTGGGCAAAGGCTTCCCTGTCTGGGCTTCAGTTTGAATCTAAGTAAAAGACAAGGATTGAGCTAGAAGACCTGTTAGGTCTCTTACAACTGCAGTTCTCTCCACTCAATGTGTGGTTCAGAAAGGCCCTTTTTGACCTTACTTTAATAAACTCATTTCAATCCAAAAGAGAAAAGCCATTACTATCTAAAGACTATTAACTGCAAAGAGGTCTACTTAAAACGGTATTTACATTTCTCTACACTGGGGAAAGTGTCAAGAGAGAAAATGTCTTAAGTGCCCAATTTATGAGATTGTATGAGGTTATCACAAGTGGATTAGACCTGTCTGTAAGAGAAATTCAAAGTTAACATTTTAATTAACATGAAACAAATATCTGCATAAATTTTACATGGAAAAAATAATAAAAACAAGGCCACAAAGAGTCAAGAATCCATTTGAGGACTTTTACTTCTTTGCATTTTAATACTTAGTTAACAAATTAAGTAATTAACTCACTCAAGAAACATACTCTGTGTCGGATGGACTGGACAGTGGGAGTACAAAGTTGAAGAACACACATTCTTGCCCTCAAGGGGTTCACAGACCCATGGGAGACAGCATTACTACGCAGGGGTGTGGGTGTTGAGACAGAGAAAGGAGCTGGTTACCCAGGGTCTCTCGGTAGCCTGCGGGAGGCAGGGAAGGCAACATCCTACGAGGGGACCTTTGACAGAGCATTCCTGTGCCTTAGCTCTGCTGCAGAGTGTGGTTTCCCTGCACTGCCATCAGCACTCACATGCAAGCTCCTGGAGGGAGAGGCTGTGCTTCCTCAACCAGTTTTATCACCTGTGCGCAGTTAGTGCCCGAAAAGAGCTGGTATTGGAAACCACGTATTCTAGGGAGGAGAATCTAGGACCATGCTTGGGGGACCAAATGTTCCATTTTTTCCTGGAGTGTCTGGGGTGGTGGAAAGCCATCCTGAGGACTGAAAAGACAGGAATGCTTTGTCGGGGAGAGGGCTTTGGTTGTCACGCCTCGTTCTACGATCCCTGAGGGACTTGAACCAGCTCTACCAGGAATGTGGATCATTCTGGGATGGGCTTAAGGGGAACTTGAGAGCTGCAAGGCAGGCCCCCATCCCCCCAGGGATTCCAGAACCCTGGGGCTGGTGCTCTCTGCAAAGGAGCTGATGCTCCCAGGACAGAACCACCCAGGAGGACCAAGACACAGAAAACCAAAGCCTGCACGCCCTGTCTTGAGAAGGCAGCCGGGGAGGGCTCCTACAGATTCAAGGACCTTTTAAACTCATCTGGTCCAACCTCCTCATTTGTATTAATAGATGTGAAGTACCTGCCACAAAACTCAACACTTGGTTGACTAAATGCTGGATTCTAATCTCTGATACTGTCCATTTTTTCATCTTAGTCCATTTGAGCCACAGATAACCAGAAACCACAGAGTAGGGAGTTGTGGGATGGCTGTTTTGTTTTATTTTTAGTCCCAGAACACGAGCTTGCCACAAGGAAGCATTGCCTGCAACGTCATTACCTAAAAATGTTCCTTTATAATAAAAGCACGTTTTAATATCAAAATGACATTGTCCACCTCCTATGAAGACACATACTAATTTACCGTTAAAATTAACTGGAGGTGTTTCTCAGGATTGGCAGGTAAGCCACTGGGAAGTATATGCCAGACTGTAAAGGATAATTATTCTCTTTCACTGACTGGTGGAACTCTAAAAATGCAAAGTCCGTAATATCAACTCTGCCAATGAAACCCTGTCTCATTAATTCCCAATTCTTAGAAAACCAGCTCTAGAGCAGCCATTTTCAAAATGTGGTCCTCAGACCACCAGCACTGGGCATAATTTAGGATTATGTTAAAAATACCAATTCTCAGACTTCATCCCAAACCTGAGTCAGAACCTCCAGGGGTGGGTCCAGCAACATGTGCTTTAACAGGCCCTCCAGGGGATGCTGATGCATGCTAAAGGAAACGGTTGCTTTAGAGTTTGATGCTAAAAACAAGCAAACAAAAAAACAGGCATTCTGGGTTTCAACCACGGGAATTACCTGCATACAGCACAGAAGAACTCTCCACATCTGAACCGAGATGATTAGCTACGGAACATTCATATATTCCTTGTTCTTTCCTTGTGGGATTCCGTATCTGCATCTTCTCAGCTCCATCCAAAATTATTCTGTGGAACAGTTAGAAAGAGAATGCACCCTCGTAAGACATTTAACTGCTCTAGGGTCACGGCGGGTTTCAGAGAAAGAAGACTACAAAATTATAGGCTTTGGGCTGGCAGGGTTCCCTGAAGACGATCTTGTCAAGCACCTGGGCTGTAGACAGGTAACTACAGAGACCAGGACAAGTCTGTCCTCTTCCTTAGATTCACGGCAACTGTGGAGGGGGACAGTGTTTGGAGATCCAGTCTTCCCATCCCACTGTTCATGAGAACAGACTTTTCTGGATGCATGCAATGCTTAATCTACCACTTTCAAGAAAGACAACCTAGCAAACCTATTCATTTGCTGGATGTTAAACTTTCGTTTTCTGCCCAAATCCGTCCTAACCAACTGCAGGTGTGGATTTTCAGCTTGGATTTTCACACTGGGAGTGGGTGGGCTTCAGTTACGACTGCTTTGCAATGGATCATTGTCTCATTACTGTACGAAGAAGTCAGTCAAGGTTGCAATGCTAAGGCTGTGGTATATATGGGATTTGGACCATGCTGTTAGGAATTAGGGCTCAGCTGCATGAGTTCACTGTAGTTTCCCAGTTACTGATATTCCTGAAAACTGGCATGTACATATCACCTTGAGAATCAGAGTTGGTGAGGTGTATCCAGATTAGGTAATTATTCAGAGAAGTAGGAAAGAGCCCTTGTTCTCCTTTTACTTTAATTTTATTTTTTTCTTAACAATTTGAATCTGCTTCTGAATCATCTGGGTCAGTGGCCTGCCCCATCCCACTTCACAGATCTTAGCAATGTGGACTATTCTAACCTCTAAATACTGCATGTTTCTTCATGAGTTGAGTGGGGCCACTTCTTCATTTCCTGTCACTTCATGTCACTCACCCCATACTCCAGCCATAATAAACTTCTAACTGTTTCCAGAACATTCCATAATCTTTCATCACCCTGAGCTCTTGCATGTGTTGTTCACTCTATTTGAAATCGCTTCCCCCTTTCTGGCAAACTCCAACCTACCCACTGAGTCCTAGATCAAGTGTAATTTCCCCTGTAAAAGTTCTCCCCAATGCTCCTAGAGTCATCTTCTGTACCGTCTGGGCTCCTTCTTCTCTGGTTCATTTATTTATTTGATGAAATGTCTGTTTCTTTCCACTAGATTGTGATTGTTTCAAGGGCAGGGGCCAAATCTTATTCACAGCTGTGCATTCTCGGTGCTCGGCACAGCGACTTTTACATAGCAAGTTCTCAAAACGTCTGATGACTAAACGTAGGAATGACAGAATGGAACAGAATAATGGCGCAGGGCACAGGTCCAGGGATGCCACCCCGCCAACACACCTAAGAAATACACAAAAGTGGGCACAAGTCAAAACCACTCAAGTGTCCCAGAGCAACAGGAATATGGCAAACCTGACTATTAGCAGGGCGAGAGTGTCACTGTCAAATCCTACTGAGGAGAAACTGTTAAAGACAAAAGTCTAACCAGTAACCATACACGAAAAATACGCACACCAAAATGTTTTCTTAAATCATTTCATATATATGTTTGTATGATTCAGCAATTCTCAAAGAATTCCCTTGTTTGGTAGGCCTCAACTTAACAGTCCACGGAGAAACCACTGAGATTAGAAACAGCTGACCACGCAGGAACCTTACAGGCGCCCAGCCTGGTTCCACCCCTGGGCTGCAGAACTGGCAGGTGGAGTTCTAAGGGATCTGACCTTGGCCTCTGCTGCACAATCTTACTCTTAACTTGAACTAATAACAAAGCTGATCTTTCCACCTCTAATTAATCCACACACAGCCTTCCCTTCCCAGCTGAGATTTCTTACTCAGTTGGCCTCCGAATGGTGCTCCACACCTACAGTCTCCTCGCACTGCATACAGACTCTCAGAAACTCCATTTCTGAATTACTTCAACTGAAAAGATTTGTGAGATTCAGAAAATACACTAAAGGTGACCTTTGTTATGTCAAGGAAATTAAACATAAATTGAACAAATTAATCGGGTAAGTTTGAGAGAAACAAATGGAAATAAAAATGGATCTTATTCTCTTAAAAAATTAAAACCAAACGATTTTACTAGACATATGAAATGGCTTCAATTTCAAATGGTTGATCCTTAAAGTATATAGAAACACATCTGAGTAGGATGTACTGTATGTCAAAACCTCTTTTTTATAAGAGCTCAGGAGTCTCAGCCTGAGAAACTTACGTCAATTCCATTCCATCAAATCAAACTATTCAAAAATCAACTCAATTCAACAAATATTTATTTAAACTGACCATACTTCACTGCATCACCGTAGGATTTATGTGGCCACAGTTCAACTGATCACTTCAACCGTCCCAGCCTCCCTTTCCTCACAACTTATAAAATGGAATTGGTGAGTCAGAACAGCAGTCTTCAAAGGGTGGTCCTTGACCCCCCCAAGAGTCCACGATTTTTCGTAATAATACTAAGCATTAAAACTATTTTCATAACACTACTAAATCATTACTTGCCTTTTCGCTGTGATGACCTTTGCACTGAAAGTGCAAAGAAAGACAGTGCAGGGAGAGCTGCCGCACCTCAGTTAGACCAAGGCGGTGGCCTCACATTGCACCAGTAGTGGCTGTATTCTTGACTTGCAGGAGAATCAAAAATGCCAGTTTCACTTAAGGATGTCCTTGATGAAGTAGTAAAACTTATTAATCTTGCTAAATCTTGACCCTTGAGTCCATACGTTTTATAACCTGCAGGACAGGATGGGAAGAGCCCACAAAGCACTCCTGCTGCACACTCAAGTGTAACACGTCAGCGTGAGTGTTGGAGTCACTGACTACTAGCTGCTTTCCTCACGGAATAAGAATGACTGACGGACGAACTGTGACAAAAAAGTTCCCACTATGATTCGACCTGGGGTATTTGGCAGACACATGCATTGTTTTCAATGAATGACGTGAGCTGGACAATTCAAGGAAACAACTTGATAGTATTCGTTGCCAATAATAAAACTTGAGCTTTCAAGTTAAAATTAGAATTTTGTAAAACTAGTAATAGTATCCACCATTGTGAGCTTGACAGCTTCCCAAAACTCAAAGACTCCTCTGATATGTGATGAGATTAAAGAGTATGTGTATTTTTTATATTGTGTAACAAGAAATGTCAATATTTGCGTCAATATTTGGAAGATCTGTATAACTCAGTGAGCCAATATTTTCCAAATGACCAATCTATAGTGTTACAAAATCTTGCCTGGGTAAAAAAAATCTAGTCAAAGTGTAAGATAAACCAATAGATTTTCATGAACAGAGTACTAACATTTCATTAACATGGTTTCAGATTTCACATTCCACCTAACACGTGACAAACCACTATTCGTCCAGGTTTAGTGTAAGTATTAAAGAATATTCACAGCAATCTGAAAGAGTGTTAAAATATTCCTTCTTTTTCCAACAAACATATCTGTACGAGGTCCATTTTTTTCTCCATGTACTTCAGCTAAAACAACGTATCATAACAGATGCAGAAATGAGACTCCAGCTGTCTTCATCATGCCAGACACTGAAGAGATTTGTGAAGATGTGAAGCAGTTCCACCCTCATCAGTAATTTTGACGGGTGAGGGGAGGGGTGGGATAATGCTTTTCAAAAAAGTATGTCATTTATGTGAACATGTAATGGTCTTGTTTTTCCAAAATGGATTAATAGAGATTTTTAAATGTTTCTTGGTTTTAATTTCTAATAAGGCAAGTAGCAAGATATAACTCAAATTTCAAAAGTTCTTTGAGCTTCTCAATCATTTTTAAGTTTAAAGGGGCCCTAAGACCAAAAGCTCTGAGGACTGTTAAGTCTGATTCCACTCCTAAAATTTCATTGCACTCTTGTTCAGACTTCTGGGATAAAAAAAATCCAAAAATTAGATTTTTTTCTACCTTTTCAATTTAAGACATGGCCTAATAGTTTATTGTAGAAAAACTGAATTTTACCTAGATTTCTTCTAAAGTTTCACACATTAGGCTTAATGCACAAAGGACATGATAAAAATAAAACTTGGATTTTGAAAATACCTTCTGGTCTGCTAAACAATTTTACGTCTGCTGTTTTGTTTGTGTCTCCTAACAATCCTTGGAGATAGATAAGGTATAGCTTGAGCTCTTAAATGCAAATTAAAAGAAAGAACAATGTCTATAGTTCTTTGTATACAAATAGCAAGATTTGAAGACAGTAATGAATGCAGAAGTAAATTAATATCTGTTATCCCTGCTGTTTTATGTAAAATAAATGAAATGTGACATTTTTGCACTGACATAGAAATCATAATAAGACTCAATATTGTTTTGAACACCTCACAAAACTGATTCTAATCATCTTACTTTTGGATTGTATGACATAAAAATTGCATGATAATAGAAAATTACTTCAGATACCCCATATTTCTATTAAGGCTACGATTAATATTTGTGTGATATTTAAATACCACTGGTGGTGTTCAGGAGATACAGCCCTGGTTCTAAGTGGCCATGGAACAGCCATGGGATTCTGTTTCCTAACGATCTCATCGGAAAGGTTAACCCCTGCCCTGACAACCTCTCGGGGCTGATGTGAGCTCAAATGAGATACCACACTCCCAGATACAGAAGAGCTCTATGTATTCGGATTTGTAGATCCAACATAATGTAGGATTACTATCAGCATGCTTACATTTTTAATAGTCTTATATTGATTTTATTTTCAAATGCTAAGTGCTGTGCAAAGGGGAGAGTCTACACATGCATAAACTCATTCTCATTGTGTCCAGTCTTGTATCACGCCTATGTGATGGTGACTGGGACAATACGATGGTCTAATTTACGAAATTCCAATGCACATGTGAAAAACATATCCTAACATTTTTAAGTTTCTTTCCTAAAGAATCCTGTTGGAAACACATTCTTAGGAGACGGAATTTGAAAATATTTTCAAGAAAACTGGAATAGCCATTAAGAAGGTCCTAGAAAAATGAGCACTGCATTCTTACTTTACTTACTTTACCGAAGGCTGCAATGATGTTCCGTCCTTGGTCCATGTGTATGTGGCCTCGCCGGGGGTCATAAGCTCACACAATATGTTGATGACCTCTGTCCTTTTTGTAATGTACACTATATTTCCAATCCTTGAATTTATTGTTTTATTAAATGAAATGGAGGGGAGCTGGCTTTGCCTGACGAGAACGGGCCCCTTTGGCTTGAATGTCAGCTTGCCTGAGGTTTTCGCATCTGAACTTTGGGGTGCAGTTCCTGCCTCCCCCCTTTGCTGAACGGGAGGCGGTTCTTCCTGGATACCCCTCCACTGCCTGTGCGTGGGCGGCGCCTTCGCTGACTCAGCCGCCAGCTGATAGATCACCTGGGACGCCAGGTCATCGCTCACCTCCCCGGTTTCCACGAGCTGACTCATGTTTCTTATCAGTTCATCAAACTGGGCCATATCCATGCTGTACGCCCCCTGTTTAACTGCCGCTTCAAACTGCTTATTCTTAAACTCCCAGGAGTCGGAGCTTCCTGCAGCACTGCTGCAGTGGCCGAACAGAGCTCTCAGGAAAGGCTGGTTGTTAATTTGGCCGTCACCCAGGTACAGCTCGTTTTCGTTACTCCACGTTTGCCGCATTTTATGCCCCGTGACTCCCAAACTACTGGCTTCGTTGTGGTCCGTCCCAGGATGTTCCCTCGTGCGCTCTCGGAGGGCTGGGTGTGCGATGAGCCGGTTGTCAGTACCGATGAGCTTGAGCACAGCTGTGTCCTGCGCGGAGCCGGCGATGCACCGGTACACGCCGATGTCGCGGGCCGCAAGACTGTGGATTTTCAGTGAGCCAGACTTGGTGATGCCCAGCCGTTTGGAGTTCTGCAGGCAGCGGCCGTCCTTCTCCCATTGGATCAGAGATTTCTGGAATCGTCGCACCGGGCACTTAATAATCACAGACGTGTTGGGCAGCAAATAGGCCCTGCTGCCGACGGTCAGGTTAATGCGCTTCTCTTCCCTGGTCTGAATGTAGACTCTCTGCACGCCGAGGATCTGAGGACCCTGCTCACCAAGTTTTGTCTTCATCTCCGGTTTCACTTCTACAGGGAAAAAAGAAAGAAAAAAAGCAAACAAACATCTCAAAAATAAAAACTTTTCACAATAAACTTCCAAGGCTGACACAAGCCAACAAATGCATCTTTTTAAATCTTTTAAAACACTTGAGAATGAAAACACGAATAAGGTAGAATGGGTACTTTGAAGCCAGACAAATCGTATACACCCATAGATTGGGGCAAATTTCACAACTAGCACTTTAGCCACAAAGAATGCAAGTGTAAATGAGTTGATGAAAACATGTAAATTGTTTCACAAAACCTTGGTTTGGGGAGGCATGAGGTTAAATGGCTCAATGAAATATAGGGAATGGTTATTCCTAGATTTAGGGAATATTTCTTCTAGGCCATGATTATATGATGCTTCATAATTACCCAGCCTCTGGGTACATGTTTTCATCGATAAGGGGTTAGTCCAATATACTGGGCCTCCACCATCTGGTAGGGAGGCCTTCAGGGAGCTATCTGGCTTGGAGCCATCGTTTACATCAAATTTGAGGGAAGAAGTCACAGTGGGAACATGAGTGAATATATCTGAAGTATCTGAAAAGGAAGATGAAGTTGACCAACTACAGAACATCACCCGAATATGTCAATTAAGCGAGCATGGAGGGGCTTAGGAAGCAACGGAGAGCTGTGATCAAAAAAGAAAAGGTAGGGTCAGGTGCAGTGGCTCTCTCCTGTAATCCCAGCACTTTGGGAGGCTGAGGTGGGAGGATCACTTGAGCCCAGGAGTTCGAGACCAGCGTGGGCAACATAGCAAGACCCTGTCTCTACAAAAAATAAAAAAATTAGCCAGGTGTGATAGTAGACACCTGTAGTCCCAGCTACCAGGGAGGCTAAGGCAGGAGGATTGCTTGAGGAGTTGGAGGCTGCAGTGAGCTATGATTGTGCCTCTGTACTCCAGCCTGGGCAACAGAGTGAGACCCTATCTCTAAAAAAACAAACAAAAAAAACAAAAAGAAAAGAAAAGGTAGAATAGGCACTTTGAAGCTAGACAAATCTGAGTTTGAATCTTAGCTCTGCTGCTAGGACAAATTCAATATCAACTCTGATCACAGATATTCTAACAAGCAGCTCTCAAACTTTGCTATACATTAGACTCATCTGTTCCAATTATTATTTATTGACGTCAATGTTCTGGGTCCCATCCTCAGAAATTCTGTTTTATGGGGCGCATCCAGCGCATCAGAGTTTTTAAAAGCTCCCTGGGTGACTGAAATGTATGGCAAAGTTCGAGGACCCTTTCCCTAGAGGGTACCACTGGATTAACCAAGGCAGGACTCAGGCATTCTTGACCCAGCTTCTTTTACTAAACGACAGTTTGATGGGATGTTGCTGGTCAAGAGGGGAGAGAAAATGAGAAGCAGCATCTGTGTCGTCTGGGAGAATCCTCCAAAGTCTTCACAACCGACAGTGTCTTCTGTCGGAAGAACGTGGGAGGATTTCTTTCTGGTGTCAGCATCAAAATTCCTTATACAGCTGACCCTTGACCAATGTGGATTTGAACTTTGCAGGTCCACTTA